AGCCCGACCGCCCAGCAGCCAACCCATCAGCCTGCCCAGCAGCCAACCCATCAGCCCGCCCAGCAGCCAACCCATCAGCCCGACCGCCCATCAGCCAGCCCATCAGCATGCCCAGCAGCCAGCCCATCAGCCCGCCCAGCAGCCAACCCATCAGCCCGCCCAGCATGTCAGTTAGCCACAAGGCTAACAAGGCATTTGCCCTTGGCGTTTGGGGCGGCTAAATGCCGCCCAAGACAAATGTCTTGTTAGCCTGGCGGCTAAAACGTCCCTGTCTATGACCATCACAGAACCTGATTAATAGAACTATAAGCTTGCTTAGAGCTCTGTACAATCACCAGGTGGATATGAATAGTTACCTCCCTTCAACCCCTTGCTGAATCCATTATGTAAATAGTCAAACTGTGACACCGGAGTGATAAAAGATTTTGTGAAAGCGGTGTGAGGACAACATTTGAACAGTTATTGGAATGAGAAACTATTAGTAAGTACAGCTCAGGGATGTAATCAAACATCAACTATTAAGTCTCTTTGCTTAACCGTAAGATAGAGAAAAATAATATAGGTCTTTGAAACGATGGCACCTACTTGTATCATTCGCAGAGGACTGGGGGAAATCAGTAAGCCTCTCGTTGGCATTGTCTTCTTCATATGTCTGGGGAATACTTTTAAAAGGATGTGCTTCTGTCTCATGTTCGTCCTTTCCACCATAAGTAGACTCACTGTTCAATCCATGGACTATAGTGGGATCCAGCTCATTACTGCCAGCTCGAAGCTCAGAGTTACCCTGGGATGGGTCCTGTAAAACACTGGCTTCATGGCCATCTTGTACCACTTTGTAGACATCTGCTGAATTTCTATCCTCGCTACTAAGTTTGGTGCTGATATTTGGTTTATTGACGTCATCCACTGACGTTTCTGCTGTAACTACATCCATTCCATGTTTAGCTTCTCCCTCCTGCAGGGCATTTCCTTCTGTAAGGAAATTAGACAGCATTAGACAGTAAAAAAGGAGTGTTTGATAAGTAATGATAAAAATTCTGCTCTTTACAGACCTGGTGTCGTAGGATGTGAGATGACTGGTGTTGCATTTTCTGCGGGCTGCTCTGTAGGCTCAGATGCAAAATGTTTCTCTTGGCCACCGGCTGGTTCCAAAGGGTCCATATCTACAGTTATCATAGCAAGGATTAATATACAAGGCTGGATGTTAAACACAGATACATGCAGCTGTCCACCTGTTTTTTCTCTTGCAGAATAGGATGGAGTATGACAGGGGTAGGCAACATTTTCATAGTACTGGGCCAAAACAAGATTTTTAAAATTGAGGTGTGTTGGCGAATTTTGCTAATGCTATTTATGGGTGCTGCAGTTGCTTTGTAGCATTGTATTTGTCCCTATGTGGGCTGTTCATGAGTAGTTTGTGGAATTGTGTATGATACATATGAATGTGGGCTATGTTTATGGGCTTCTTGTGTAATTGTGTGTCTATGATATGTCACGTTGTGTGTTTGGTGTGTATTGCATGTGCATGCGTGTGGATTGTCACTGGTGTTGTGTTGGTATTATTTGTATGAGGGGAGGCTTATTCTCCAGCTCTGTGTATATCTAGCAGTGTGGGTGGCTTCCCTGGGGTCCAATGGCTGGGTGGCCAAAGGCCGGAGCTGCGATAGCTTTTGTGGGCTGCTCAACTCCCATGCGGATTCCCGTTCACAAGGTATGTTATTAAGTGATCTGAGATCACTTCCTCTAAATGCTGCAAAGCATAAATTAAGGATTGTCCTCACCACACACTTGTTTGGCTCTGGCAGCCTTGAGTGCTGTGCAAAGGCACCTCGAGTGCCATTCACGACACACGAGCAGTACGTTGCTGACCCCTGGAGTAGGATGTGCTTGCTTAGCCATGACTTTCACCTCTATAAAAGTATTTTACAGAACTTTTGTGAATTCCATGATAAAGGGAAACAGTAGGCACCATAACTATTTCATGTAATTGAATTTGTTTATAGTGCCTTGGGTCCTCTTGCACTGTTCCTCCATTCAGTGTTAGACCATTTTTGAACAGTTTAACAGTGAATAAAGGTCTCTGGCCACCCAGAGCTCCACTGCACGTATGGCTAAGGCAGATTACACACTTCCTTCTAGCCATACCAATTCATACCAGTAATAGGCACTGCTATAGGCTGAAAGTGGTAGGCTGACACTCTCAGCCAATCACAGTCACCCAAACCAAGCAGGACAGAGGAAATTGGCCGCTAGGGATTCGTTTAACATTAAAAAAGGTTTAATGCTGTATGGAAGGACAATGTCAAGGGACTTCAGACACTATAACCACTTCAATGAGATGAAGCAGTTACAGTGCCTACAGTGTCCCTTTAAATCACCACAGCTCATGACATTGGTGATTAGCAGTTAATTTTTTTGCGTTCTCCCCTACCCCCCCACTAAATCTGAGATTTGTATATGCCATAGTTACCCATATTATCGTGGGTGTAATAAACATGGCAACTAGGGAATATACAGGGTAATAAACAGAGTAACTGGGTACATATACCCAGGGGTAATAAACAGGGCAACTGGGCTATTATATACACAAGGGTAATAAACAGAGTAACTGGGATATATATAAACAGGGGTAATAAACAGGGTATATATATCCCAGTTACCCTATATATTACCCTTGTGTATATATATATGTACCCCATTTACCTTGTTTATTTCCCTGTGTATATATATCCCAGTTACCCTGTTTATTACCGCTGTGTATATATACCCCTGTTACCCTGTTTATTACCCCAGTGTATATATACCCCAGTTACCCTGTTTATTGCCCCTGTGAATATATATCCTAGTTACCCTGTTTATTACCCCTGTGTATATATATCCCAGTTACTCTGTTTATTACCCCTGTGTATATATACCCCAGTTCCACTGTTTATTGCCCCTGTGTATATATATATATCACAGTTACCCTGTTTATTGCCCCCATGGTATATAATACCCCAGTTACCCTGTTTATTACCCCCATGGTATATAATACCCCAGTTACCCTGTTTATTGCCCCCATGGTATATAATACCCCAGTTACCCTGTTTATTACCCCCATGGTATATAATAGCCCAGTTACCCTGTTTATTACCCCAGTTACCCTGTTTATTACCCCCATGGTATATAATAGCCCAGTTACCCTGTTTATTGCCCCCATGGTATATAATACCCCAGTTACCCTGTTCATTACCCCATGGTATATAATACCCCAGTTACCCTGTTTATTACCCCCATGGTATATAATAGCCCAGTTACCCTGTTTATTACCCCCATGGTATATAATAGCCCAGTTACCCTGTTTATTACCCCCATGGTATATAATACCCCAGTTACCCTGTTTATTACCCCCATGGTATATAATACCCCAGTTACCCTGTTTATTACCCCCATGGTATATAATACCCCAGTTACCCTGTTTATTACCCCCATGGTATATAATACCCCAGTTACCCTGTTTATTACCCCCATGGTATATAATACCCCAGTTACCCTGTTTATTACCCCCATGGTATATAATACCCCAGTTACCCTGTTTATTACCCCCATGGTATATAATGCCCCGGCTCCCGGTACCTACCTGGCTCTGTCACTGATTTTATCCCGGTATCCTTGGCCGCCATCTTTGTTTATTCTGTTTCCAGAGTAAGTTTAGCTTTTTACCGTCCCCATAGCTACAGAGACATCCGGTTTGAGGGCATGCCGGGAAGTGTAGTTTTTGCCTGCGGTTACAGCTCGGTGCCCTGTGTGCTGCTATTCAGCCAGTGAATGTACTGCCCTCTGCTGGTCACTAAACAAACCACAAGACCAGCTCACATTGTGGGCCAACAACGAACCTGGCTGGGTGAACCATTCCTCCCCAATGCAGCTATTTATCACAAATTAAACCTGAATGGCAAAATGGAGGCAAAAATATCTGAGCCGGACAAGGTCCATACCTGCACCATAGTGACACCGGGGCTATTATTGTTTGGGGAATTACCCCTGTGTGTCTTATTACCCCCACACCTAGACAGATCTCACACTATCCCAGGGATAAAATAAACCGCCCCCCTGTCCCGGGTGTCCGGCGATATTATTTCCACATCCCAGAGACGGTCTTGGAATTTCACTGATATTCCAATCCAGTCAATAGATATCATGAAACAGAGAAAGGTCTACTGCCTAATGTCCTAACTTCGGTGTGCTGGCGACAGACATTATCAGGCAGCGCTGGGGGCATCCCTTCTCTCTCGGACTCTGTGCACTCCCTCACTGCATTTACTAAAAATTGGCCTTTTTTATTTTAAAACCCACCCCTTGTCCTAGACTCTGTGTGCAAACGTGCTTTGACCCTGGTAGAACAGTCCACGTGACGTATGACTGGACACGGCGTGACGACAGATGGGGCGGGGAAACAAGCTTTCCAGTGCTTCTTAATCAGTTGGAGTAGAGTCCATTAAAAAGCGGGGAAAGCCGGCTTAGCTTAGCTTCCGTTAACTCTGTGGAGACGGCCAGGGAGGTGTTTTGGTTTTACTTGAGACACATTAAGCAAGCTGTGTGCACAATGTGTCTGGAGCGTTCCTTTAGCCACTTTATGAATTGCTTACGATTTATTCCAGCATGTCTTTGCTTCATTGACAATCAGACATTGTTGCATTGTGTGTCTTCTATTGTAATTTAACAGTGTAAGTGCCCCCACATCCATACGGTTTGTTTTTAAGGACACATTGGGATCACTATTTAGTTGATGTTAAGGTAAGAATCAGGATATTACTTTCACACATTTTGGAGTGAATTTGGGTAATTTTCTGGTGGCAGTGTGATCGGATTTGGAGACACCTATTCAGTGCCTCCACATACAGGCCCACTGGGGAAAGAATCTACTTTCCCTCTACCAAGGGATCAGGCATGTATCAGTTTTACCCTTCCACTAGTTCCATCAGCTGATCAATAATCCAAACAAACATTTCTTTAAAATTATTTTATTAACAGAAAAATAAAAAGAAAGTACGATTGAATTAAATAGTTATATACAAGGGATTTCCTTGGCACGCAGTGGGTGGACCCAGAAAATCTCAGATATTAGCAGACATGTGCGGTCAGCGCAAACCATCCCTCGCCCTTCTCTCGTCCAGCCTGTAAGAAACAGAGGATTGGGATGTCAGGAACGGAACGTCTCCAGTCTGTCTCTGCTAATGAATCAGCTACACAAGCATTATATTTTTTCCTTTGGCCCTACAGCACTGATTTGTCTGTGAGAAGGTCAGGATAAAAGTTTCTAATATTGAGATTTTAGAGATCACTGGAATAGGCCAAACCAATATTAGCAGAGGGAGCGTTGAGAGCAATCTAATTAAAACAGAATTTGGTTTATCTAATGGAGTACATATCATCAGGCACTGGCGGATGGTCTGAGGAGAACAGAGGGTTACACTAACAATTACTTAGATATTCAATAAACTTTGCAAACTCCGATTACAGAAACTATATCTAGACCGATTTAAGATTTACTGAGTGAACAAAGACTGACAGGGTTATTCACTGAAGTGAGAACTGTGAGGAACTTAAAGTGAATTTCAAACATAGAGCCAAATTAGCAGAACTGGAAAAATTCTCCAAGTCAGCTCTGCTTTTGGGTTGGCTATTTTCCTCTTAAATTTGTTATTCACTTTGAATTCTCACCTTAGTAAATACACCTGTGAGATTGCCGAGCACTGTCCCTGTCCCGTTGTAAAGCGCTATATAAATAATAACAATTTCCTTCAAAACAACTTCCTGCTAAACTCCATAGCTGGTCTCTCTTTTTTTATTTTGTAGCAAAAATAAAGAAACGAATGTGGAGAAAAATATGTATGAATGTGTATAATTATATATACACATGACTTGCACTGGTGCCACAATGATTTAATGAAAATGATAAAGGAAAATACATCCTCGGTCTTACTGGTCATCAGAATCAACATTTAAATTCTTTATGGCTGTCTTTACACCAGACAGTCAGATCTTACTGAAGGTTATTTAAATGTGAGTAATTCAAACTTTAACATAAGCAAATAATGAACCTCCAGTCTGGAACAAAACCGTCACTAAATTGATGACTTTAATTCCTAAATTTTATTAAACAAAGAAGGTGAGGGCTATCCCTCCCTATACACACACACACACACACACACCATACACAATAATGCTGTTCTACGTATGTATATTTTGTGTGTAAAGGCACAGTTTGCGCTCTGCTTATTTTCTTGTTGGAGGCTATTGGAGCTAAACACTATGTTCACTGACACGAGACAGAGAAAGTGTTGCTGCCAATAGGAGTAGTAAAGAATGTTATATCAACCTCCTGTCTTTAATAAAATTGTGATTTTACATCACCAACAGTAAAAAAAAAAATCTGACTTTAAAATTGGGGGCGGGGGGGGGACCCACAACACAAACTTTTAGGACTGCAGTCAACCTACTACAGCATTGGAGTCAATGAGGTGGTAGCATGCTTCAATGAGGTTTGAGGTGCACTGTTTGGGGGAAAAAAAACAAATTGTGAAAGGTCCAATGTAGCAAAGAAACTTGCTGAGAACTGCAGTCAAGCCTAGTGAATTATTCAGAAGAATTGTTGAATTAAAATCTGACAATTATCAAGTAAGGTTCTATTGAAAAGACAAAAACAGCTTATTTACATTACCTTCGACCAGTGCCCAGCAATCTGAGGTTTCCCTGCTCCCGAGCTATGTGAAGATCCTGACCTGTTTGGTATGCTAGAAGACATAAACAAATTAAAATCTGATGAAATTACAAGATTTTTGAATATGTTTTTAAAATGATTTCTTTTTTAGAATATTGAAACAAATGATATATTTTTACAATATTAAATAATTTGAAAAGCGTATCCGAACATTAAATTGAGGCCAAGATTAGGTGGGGAGAAGTAATTATAGATATAAAACATCTATGCAGCCATTGCCTGTTAGTGGAGGCCAACTGAGCACATTAGGAAACCCTTCTCTAAAGATCTGTAATCTCTGTCTCACTGAACTATATTCTCTCAATAGGGAGATGGATCCATGATGCAATAACAAAAAGTCAGGGGCTGCCACCACTTTGATTTCTAGGATATATTAGAATAATATATTGTTACAGTGGATGTGATCTATTTGGATTTTGCCAAGGCATTTGATACAGTTCCACACAATAGATTAGTGTCCAAACACAAGGAAATAGATTAATATTCTTGTTGTTGGGTAGAACATTGGCTTAAAGATAGAGTACAACCGGTTGGCATTAATGGTACATTTTCAGGCTGGACAAAAGTGGTAAGTGGTGTCCCTCAGGGTTCTGTTCTGGGACCCCTTTTATTTAACATGTTTATAAATGATCTTGAAAAAAGCATTGAAAGTCGTCTGATAAAATTGATCAGAGGAAATAAAGTGAACTAGGCGAGACTCGTGCTTATCAGAGAGGTTATTACACTGAAACAGATTTTATGATGGCTTCCATTAAACCAATTTTGGAACTGTGCACTTCCATTGGCAGCTCATACAGTGTGGTGACTGGTTTACAACAAGCTTCCGCAAGGGCAGAATAGGCTTCCGTCCCATTGTGAAGTGGAAACCCTAGTATCGCTATTTCAGGTGGATATATAACTTACCTTCTGCTGCTGCCTCTGCTGGCTGGTGAAGGAGTCTCTTCCAGGGAGGAATCGTTCAGACAAGGCATAGGGATTGACACCTCTAATCTCCTTCCTGAAAAAGACATGTGTAGCGTCAGAGGATCTATCCAATTACAAAATGTATAAAGCTAAGAATTAATTTTTATTTGCAATTTAATTTGCAAATAAACATATCTGTAGTTTTACTGAAAATGTAATTTCAAATGCAGAGAAAGAGTTTTGAAAATAAAAAGACTAATATGCAAACTACAGACTATGCATTAAAAAAACAACACCCTCTTAACAAGAGGTTAGCATCAGAGAATTTTGGGGTTTGTTCGCCAAAAACCATCCTGTAGTAGACTGAACCAGTTCACAATAGTAGGCCAAATACACCCAGCTGTGAGTTAGAAAAATAGAGAGGTATGGGTCACATCTTTAGATCAAATTACTCCTATACAGGAGATCACATTATTGTGAATACTTTTACTCCAATATTCACAAACAACATGAAAATCATACAAGGAGTGTTCTGCCAGATAGTGTTACTCAGCCATGCTATGGCCTTCCTGATAGATTCCCTGCCTATGGCTATATAGAATCTTCAGCTTCTCCACAGATCATAGACACTAAAGGTTCTCGAATGATTAGACAGTGGGCGGAGTACTAGTGTACAAACGCTTTGGTGTTCCTATTACTAATGTGTTTTAATTATCCATTGACAGTAAGAAAGAGGGCTGAACACCGCACCCTGCCAAGGTAGGCTTTGTATATTGTGCAAGGTAATAACACAACAGGCCAGTGAGTTCAAATGCCAGCTGTAATACCTGCTTAAGGGCTCAGGTCCCATTCACAAAAAAACAATTCAGCTTTCCATTCTCCTGAAGGTGGGTAATATATTTGGGCAGTAATAAGATCTGCCTATCACATGCCAGTTTGTCCTTAGTGGTTCCTTGGGTTCAGACATATTGGGAGAAAAGTTTTGTAATTTCCCCCAGCATTTCATTGCCATCCAGGTTTGTAAAAACAGATAGTAGCAACTCAGAGGTGTAAATTCTGCATTACAAAGTCAACTAGAGAGGGGCGGCTATGAATGCCAGGGAGACACCCACCGTCTGTCCCGTACAGTTTGACAAATAAACCTGGAGATGGTGCCCACACCCCCCCACCCCCCACAAAGCGGTGTGATTAACTTGTGTGCTTCTAACAAAGGCAGTACAAGCAAAGGTCTTCCCATGATAAACTAGAAACAAAATGTACTTACTCTTCATGCAACCCAGTATTTATTAGAAGATATTTGTGTGTATTTGACTTATAGAAAAAATAAAGGCACATTTGCCATACAAACAATATATTGTTATAAATAAAGTTGCAGACTGAAGTCAATCACGAATGAATACCTGTGCTAGGCTGTGGAGGGATTGGTGAAATTTCTGGTGATAATATGGAGGTTTGCTTCTGTTGATCAATGAGTTGTAGGAGCTTTTCTCTTGCCTCTGCACTCTGTCGGTTCAGCTCAGCAATCCTGCTCTCCAGACTAGTGTGAACAGCTCCGGGCATGCCGGCCTGCAAGACAGCAGTAAATGTGAGGACCCCTGTCCATGGAATAAAAAATAAATTGCTTTGCCATGAGCAAGGATTGTTTGCCCTTGACGATGGCGTGTGAGCACGTCGAAACGCTTTACTTTGTTTTTACACCTTTTGGTAGCACTATGAGCACTGTTTAATTTATTTATTTTTGTTACCATGAGACTAGGGTGTATTAGTTTAGGTAGGCACTAGCTTTACGCGGTGCCGAGGTAACCTAGAGACAGCATATATTGATTCTTATGAGCGTGGTTAGGCCTCTATAGGCACTGTCCCCTGTGGTTTGCGGACCTGGACCACCATCTAAGAGGAGTTTAACTTGGGCATTACCTCAAATATCTTGTATTATTTAGCAGATGTTTAGTCTGTTCTGCCCTCTCCCCTAGCTCTCATTGTGGGTATCTGTTACATTGGGCTTTTCCCATTTTTATCTTAGGTTCAATAAAGGTAGGGTTTTCTTTCTTTAGCTTACACCTTTTCCCCCTTTTCTGTGCTCGGTGTCAGTATATTCCTTAGGCTTTGGAGGAGTGGACTGAATACCGTAAGGATTGTTGGTTTACCTTTGTTCCACTGCCTGTATCAGGACCTAGAGGACTAGCCGTTTCGGTTTGACCCACAGGAGAATCGTGTTTGCCCATGGGTTTGGTAACCTGTTTGAGATGAGATTTCAGAGCAGAGTTCTCCTGTGTCAGTTCAGCCATACGTCCCAAGATGTCAGAAAGCTCTGTGCAGGATCTGTTGCTTTCCTCCTCTGTTATTAAATTCCTGTTCTGTGGCTCTTTGGCAGGATGGTCTGTTTGAGATACTTCCTGGGAAGTTGCAACACTGACCAATCGGTCACGGTCCTGCGATTCTGTCCATACTCTGGTAACTGCTCTTGGAGGACTCACATGATCTGCAGTTAATGGAAAGTGTTTGAATTCAGGAAGGTCTTGATTGGGATTGGTTCCAGATACTGTGTTTCTCTGTGCAACAGTTTTCTCTAAGACAATGAAAGCAAGATGAGATTATTAGGTTGTTCCCCAAATACTGTGACTACCCTAATTAAAATACAATTCGCACTCCCCGACTGAAATTATATGAATATTACAGTTTCTTACAACAACTGAAAATATAAACACAAATAGTACATTTCTCCCATCTCAAACTACTGATATACAAATAGACAGGTACTCTAAATGGGGAAGAAGGAGAAAAAATAATCATAATAAAGCCACCATCTCAAGCTGATAAAAACTAAATTAATCCATTCTAATTCTAAATGTGACTCGCACATTCTCTTTCAAAATGAAAATATAACAAATTACAGTCTCTCTGAAAGTGTAAAACATGATATAATTAACATCCGTCCTCTTTCTCTCTGAATTTCGAAAGTAACTTTTCTGCGCTGTGAGAAGCCAAGCCCTTATTAGGTCTTCCTGTAATCTGATGGGAGCATTTTCGGAAAGGTCACTGCCCAATAGCTTTCTGTGCCGTCTCAGTGGAGAGGCTCAGGTGGAAGTTTAATCATTCAAATTTTCAATCACTGGAAATGGTAAAATGTAAGGTGTTTGGGAAGGGAGCGTACCCGTTTATATTCGTGCTGTATTTCTAATTACACCAGTCTGGTTATCTCTGCTGCAGTTTAGTCATTATTGATATTGTACTTAGCAGTACAAGATCCCTTTGTTAAAAATAAATAAAATAAGAAAACTCCTTTGCTGCCACCCCTGTCACATCCCAACAGAAGGTGACCCAAGCGACCTATTGGGGTTCATTCATTTACCATTTTTACACTTGTTGAGTGGAGCTCTGGCTAACAGAAGGGAAATCGCTACAAATGATGTTCTTCAGTTAAACAAAGCTATTCTTTAAAGAAGGCACGGTGTTCTAAGAAGACGGATTTTACTTACCTGATGGGTGAACCGTGAATTGCCCCCGTGACTGCTGTCGGGGAGGTGACAGCATGACAGCTTGTTGGAAAACATGTGATGGAATGGCAGATCCTTCCCTAGGATTTTTCATTTGAAGCAATGATTGGTAGGCAATGGTTGTGTTGTGTTTTGGCAATTCCCCAATTGAGTCTACTGCGGGAATACCTGAAATACAGACGACACAATGCAATTTGAGAGACGATCATTAACAGTTTGACTGTAAAATAAAGAGGAAACAGTCTTCCTCCTGTATATCGACTGACATTTTATTATTTTTTTTTTGCAGTGCATATGGATGTAACAAACATGCATGTGGTACCCCAACGGCAATCCACTTGCTTCTTCCAAAAACAGTTTGGCATGTGGCAATACTTGCACAATTTGATACTTGAAATGAAGGTATTCATGTTTGGAACATACTATTGGTACGTAGTATTTGTTAATCACAGCTTATTAATAACTATATGTATATACTGGTTCTATCAGTAGGTCACTAAAGGGTATTGTTAGTCTCTTAGCTTATATCCCACTGGTAGGCAATATACACCTCTTGCACTTTGCTGGGTATGTGCTTCAGATGATAGATGCAAGATTTCACCCCCAGACTCCCACAGCACACATATATACAAGATTATGAAGGCTGATTCATTGTGACAGAGTAAATTGAGGTTGCGGGGCAGCGGCCGTCTGCTCCACTCACCACCGGAGTAGGCCTCGACTGTGACAGTGAAGAATTCTCCTCCAAGGGACTAATACTCATTGAGCCAGACTAGCCCTGGATCCAGTGCTCTCTGCTCATTGAGGGCCGCTGTTGCCGGATGGATTTTGGGTCGAAAATCATATTTTTGTATGGCTTATGGGTTCTTAGATTGCAGGAGCTGGTCATTTTTTGAGGATGTTATACAGTCAATTTAAAGACCTGCCCAAATCAGGTATGCAGTTTTTACACTTTGGGGAAACACCAATGAATTGAGGTTAGTTTACTTTGTGTAAGCCGTACTAGTTGTGGAACAATATACACTGCTCAGCTGAAACACTGCTGGGACATTATCCATCTTGTTCAAATGCATGTGGCTCCCACATGAAAACACAGCACAAAAAGAGAACAAAAAAATCCCACTATGGACAGATACACTTGGAAGAAAGTATGTTTTAAAAAAAAAAAAATGTAATCTATTTTGGTTAAATGCCAATACCAACCATGTTGCCTAAATGTTTAACCCCTTAAGGACACATGGCGTGTGTGACATGTCATGATTCCCTTTTATTCCAGAAGTTTGGTCCTTAAGGGGTTAAATGTTATTCTATTTGGACTCCTGCAGATAAGAAGCTCTGCCGTTTAATCTGTATGACGGAGAAGGTTTTATGGGATTTGGACCATTTTGGAAATATGTCTGGAATACATGGCACACAGCATACTAACAGAAGAAAAAAAACTAATTTACCCCAAGACTACTTTAACTCCATTAAAAATAAAATATGTAACCGAGAACCAGTGACATATCTTGTTTGATCTTCTAGTGCGCGGCATCCTCTGCTCTTTAAATATGGTGTGTTAGACAAAATCATTTACTTTTTTATTAGTTTTATACAGGTAATATAGGGAAAATAATGCTCAATAGGCACAGCAGCAAATCTCACGTACAATCATACAATTGCTGAACGTCCCCTTTTATAGTAACAATGGATATAAAGTTTTACAAACCAGGGAAGATTTTTATACCAAGATACCACTAGATGGTGCTATTACCTGGCTAACATGTCTCAGACTGGATTGCTGAAACATTCTATAGATTGTCTGTAAATGGAAGAAAAGGTTGTGTTAGTTGACTTACTAGGGGCAGCCAGCAAGTTGTTTTCTTCTACAGGCTCTGAACGGATTAGATGGGAAACTGGTCTTGGGTCAGTCACAGTGATATTTCCAAATGGGTCTTTGAGAGTAGAGAGATTCTGTTGCATTTCTGAGTTATCAGACTAAAAAAATAAAACAAACACCAAGTCTAAAAGGGAGATTCACCCTAGTTCTCAGTAACAATACTGGGGGAAGTTAAGGTTTCAGCTGATCCTACCATGATGACAATTTTGAGAAGACAGACACCGTAGTGTAGTTTAAAGAAAAACCTAACATTAGGCTTCCTAAACTCCAGTGGTCCATATTATCACGAGGAGACACTCTGAACAGAGCAGAAATATAGGGCACATGTGCACAGAATGGAAATCTCAGTGGCGTAGTGTCACAGGTTACTGTGGTAAGTCTTTTTGTACCAGAGAAGTGGATAAACAAGGTATTTTAATTATTTTTTAACACCCCCTAATCTGTACAAATGTCAGAGGTCGTAATATTCATATAACATTATGAAGGAAGAGATCTCTGCTCTTCAGATGTGGACACTAAAAGAGTTGAGAATCTGCTTGGATGAAAACCAAGGACATTGCTTTTATACTAAAAAGTGTATATAGCATAAATTTACAGCCCTGTTGGTTTCAACATAATGATGACCGCTCAAAGAAATCAACTGATCGGTCAAACAAAAGCCAATTCCAACAAAAAGACAGCAGTCAGAAGCACTAAACATCTAATGTAAATACTAGCTGCCAATGATTTATCCAGATCATTATTTCTGTTAATGGTTCTATAGGCGGTTATTGTAGTTGGGTTTCCCCCTTTTTCAGAGAAGGGCAGTTACAGGCATCCCTCAGCGTTGTTGCCCTGCTGCCCCTTGTGTAGGTCTATTATGGGCAGTGCACCAACTGATCTGGTTTTTACTACGGACTAGATTTATCCAGATCAACCTGGAGAAACTCAAAGGTTCAGAAAATATGTGAGGAATTATAAAAACCTCATTCTAAACTCTAGAAAATGTCCCACTACAAATACATTAAAGTCTCTAAGTTGGCTGAGAATGGTTGGAGTTGTCTCACAGTAGCTGGAGGGTCAGATGGTCCCCTGCACTATATTAAATTGCATGTATCCTCATTGGTGGGTGGAGTGAACACTAAACGATAGTTGGTATTCACAAACCATAATTCCTTTCTTTATTGAGATAACGTCAGCTGTTAAGGCATCAATTAGTATCCGCTGTTCCTCCAGTTCACGCTGCAAACATTGCCGTTCTTGGACCTCCTGCTGCAGCTTTCGGTCACTCTGAAAAGGCATTGAAAAATATATAGGCTTAACTAGAACTAGACTAAAATGGCATTTACTGCACATTTTCCAGGAATTCCTCTTCAAATAGGCAGTTCCTTCTTCACTGTTGAATATATTTAAATCTAGACTAGGCACACCATATCACTTTTAAATGTACAAACCTGGCTCAGTGTATAAATCTTGGTTTAACCATGTCAAAGACTGCAGTGTCCATGTTTTCTGTGGCCCACATAGAAGGCATGGATAGGATGAAAAGTTTTGTCGCCTTAGCAGCAGAAACAAATATTTCTATTACATTTCTTATATGGGTGATTTATTTAGATTATTAATCATACGTTATTATTGGCAACATGAAACCTGTCAATGTGGTGAGGACAGGAAATAATGGGAAATTCTATACTTCATGGCACAGAGGGGGAGGTTAGTTGGGGATTGAGTTGGGACTATACCTCATGGCACAGAGGGGGAGGTTAGTTGGGGATTGAGTTAGGACTATACTTCATGGCACAGAGGGGGAGGTTAGTTGGGACTATACTTCATGGCACAGAGGGGGAGGTTAGTTGGGGATTGAGTTGGGACTATACCTCATGGCACAGAGGGGGAGGTTAGTTGGGGATTGAGTTGGGACTATACTTCGTGGCACAGAGGGGGAGGTTAGTTGGGGATTGAGATGGGACTATACCTCATGGCACAGAGGGGGAGGTTAGTTGGGGATTGAGATGGGACTATAAATCATGGCACAGTTAGTTGGGGATTGAGTTGGGGCTATACTTCATGACACAGAGGGGGAGGTTAGTTGGGGATTGAGTTGGGACTATACTTCATGGCACAGAGGGGGAGGTTAGTTGGGGACTGAGTTATGGAAGGTCAAGGAAGCTCATCTTGTGCCGTTACAGAGAGAACATCTCTGAAACATATCAGACTGGTCCCACCCATACGGGCAGTCCAGATCCGAAATGCCAGCAAGTTCCCTCTGCAAATTCCCTCTGCACGAGAGACACAGCAAGCTCACCTATCGTTTCAGCCTTGTTAGGCATCATCAGTGAGGCATAGCTGATATCTCTCTAGGCACCGTGAGCAAGGGGTCCACATCTGGATTACCCTTTAAACTAATGGAATAATGAGGACGTATTAGTCTGAGCAGCAATGGGTGGCTATGAATTGCAGAGAGTGTCAGCTGACCTCTTTCAGCCTATCACAGTGCCCATTGCTGGTATGAATTGGTATGGCTTGAAGGAAGTGTGTAATCTCTGCCTTGGGCATACATACAGTGGGGGCAGCTTGAATATTGTTTGAATTTGAGCAGAGTGACAGGGCCAGTGGGCTGCAAGCACTTTAACCAATCCAATGAGTTGAAATGGTTATAATGCCTACAATGTTTCTTTCACTTAAAAAAAATAATAATAAAAAATAAAAAACACACAAACAAACTATTTCCAGGAATTGTAACTGTATATGGGAATCAGAAGTTAGCTTTGTGCCTTTTCTTCTTACCTCCTTTAAGTAAAACACCAATCGTCTTACAGAGTTCACAAGTGAAAATGTGAACCCAGTAAGTCCTTGGGCTTTTGGAACAGGTGTCACATCACGTCCCGTCTGGTTTTCATACTCTGCCAGTTCCAGCTCCACGTCGCGTGTCATTTGGTTTAGGATGTCCAGGCTGGATGTATTGCAGCTGGACAACTCTGTGGCAGCAGAGTGCTTTTTCTTTCCTTCAAAACACAAAATCGTTGGCTGTTATGGTGTAGTAAAATAAACATGCGTCTCTGATCTGTCCATTTCAAAAAAAGCACATAATTCATAATATATTTTATTTATGTATATAATCCCTATAGTGCCAGGAAAAATAAGCAGTTTTCCTGGCACTATAGTTCTTTACAGTGCCCCCCCCCTCCCATGGCACTGAAGGGGTCACTTACCTGAATCCAGTGCCGATATCCCTCGGCCCTGGGAGAGTCTCCACCCACACTCCTCCCCATCTGCCAATGGGGGAAGAACTAATGCGCATGCGCAACAATGGCAGTGTTCTCATTAGGATTTCCTCAAATCTCTGCTGGAGGTCCTCAGGCAGAGCATGAGGACGTCCAGCATCAGATACCAGATCAAAGGTCAGTTTGATAGGTAGCCTTCTAGTGGTAGACAGCCACTGTAGGCAGACTTAGAGCTGCAATGTAAACTGCAGATCTAGCTGCAATGTTTAAAATTACAGCATTAGGTGCAAAAGGGACACAGCACCCAGACCACAATGAGCTGAAAATGTCTGGGTGCCTACAGTGTCCCTTTAAATATTACTCAAATGATGATTTAGGAGCTTCCTGATCTGGGCAGAACTCATGAGGCTGCACAGCCTGGGAATTTACAGAACGCATAGGAACTTTTACTTTATTGCTGTGACGGACCGCCTGGCACCCCGACCGGATACCTCCATCAATCGCTGCTTCCTAGTAAGACTTGAGTACCATTAGCACCGCACCGGACACCATAACCACCGTAAATCCCACAAACTGCCGCCGCTTGGTTGGGGTCTCACAGTCCTCCACCCACCCTGAACCCAAGACCAGGATCCAGCTTCCAATGAGTAGATCTCTCCTAGTCCAGAGAGCAAAGCAGGCTGCTCTTACAAGAGCAATTGTTGTAAGCCAAGGGAGTATAGTGATTATAGCAATCTCCAGAGTGAATATAGCTCTCCAATCCCCCAAACATGAGACTAGACTTCATGAAGGGTAAAACAAATCTCTTTAATGGCAGCCACAACTGGCCTCGTATGCAGGTCCCCATGCAAGAGGCACTCCCTCCTGGACCTGAGAGTAAACTACAGTAAAAACATACACACGATTACATTGGCTCTCAGGTCCAGGACACTCCCATACAAAATAGGTCAATCCCTCCCCTGTACCATGGAGATAATTGAGTCAGCACTGAATTAAACTCAATTATCTCCAGGCACAGAAAACATACATTTTTACAAAACTCCCAAAATACCTTTAAACACACAAAATCCCCACAAAAGTTATATCTCCTTATAGCCCCCATCTGGGCGACCAACATATCCATAAATCACCCAGATTGGTTCAGTATAGGGATCGACCGATATTGTTTTTTTTAGAGCCGATACTGATAATCTACCGATATTCTGTACATTTACCATTTTGAAAAAATAAACTATTTCTAAAGGTAAATGCACAAAATATACATGCAGCATGTAGTGGATGCAGTGTGTTTAGACAGGGGAGCTGTGTTTGTTTGTGTAGTTTGTATATAATGAATGCAGGGTGTGTTTGTGTAGTGTGTGTATAGTGAATGCAGTGTGCGTAAAGTGAATGCAGTGTGTGTAGTGTGTATATATAGTGAATGCAGTGTGTTTTTGTGTAGTGTGTGTATAGTGAATGCAGTGTGTTTGTGTAGTGTGTGTATATAATGCAGAGTGTGTGTGTGTTTGTGTAGTGTGTGTATATAATGCAGGTAGTGTGTGTATATAATGCAGAGTGTGTGTTTGTATATTGTGTGTGTGTGTGTTTCTGAAGGGATGGAATTTGTGTAAAATGGGTGGGGGGGGGGAGGGGACGACATTTTTTATTTTAAATATATTTATATGTTTTATTATTATTTTTTGTCCCCCCTCCCTGCGTGTTGCCTGGCCAGAGAGGGGGGCTATGGCATTCCATGTTGGTCCAGTGGCATGTACTGAGCAGTGGGGGGACCCGCAGCAAGCGGTTACTTACCTTCCCAGCAGCTCCTTCAGCTCCCCAGTGTAAATCTCGCGGTATGCGCGCTGCGCAGAGCATTGCCATGGTAATCCGTGGCAACAATCTGCGGCCGCGGACTCGCGAGATTTACCCTGGGGAGCTGAAGGAGCCGCTGGGAAGATAAGTAACCGCTTGCTGCGGGCCCTCTATGACCGCCAGGCTTGTAATGGGCCCGGCGGTCCTGGTATGTATTATCTGCAATATCGGTATCTCTATTGGCTGATACTGATATTGCTGAAAATACTGAATATCGGCCGATGATATCATCGGTCGATCCCTAGTTCAGGAATTTCCTGAAAGTCATAATTTGACCTACCGCAAGCATGGTCCCATGCCCAAAACAGTTCCAGAGAATCAGGGCTTGTGGTCAGTCTAGTTCGGTAGTTTAAAAACGAACAAACTACTGAACATGTAATCAATGTCAATGTTCTTAAATAAGAGCTTGTTCCCCTTGTTCGTGGGAATGTTTCCAAAGAACAGTGTCTTCCTAAGTGCTATGAAACCGAATAAAAGCGATCATGGAAGTCCAGCGGAGTTTGGGAGTTTCAGTGTCCGCCAATAGTTCCATGAACTCGACAACCAAACACAGCTGCCTGTTTTCATGCGAACAAGATGGCCGCCACCTCGTGGTCGTCCATAGGAATTGCGGCCCCCCAGACAAACACTTAGAACACTGCGGTGGAAATTGTTCCAAAGTAGCAATTTAGGCTTAACAAGAAGCTCCAGGGTTGTCTCCAGTCCATGCGGCTGTTCAGTTCCCGAACCAAATATAAAATCCTACGAACCAAGTCTGTTCATGTAGTTTTTTTTTTTTTTTTTTTTAAAGGTCCCATACTCTTTTGGTAAAAGGCTGGCCAGCAGGCCCTTCCAAGCACCGGTGATGAGGTTCAGATCATCATTGTGACGAACTACCCTTTGCCACTAGCTTCTGGGGAGGCCTGATTGCCAGCCTCCTGCCCCAAGACTATGGGCCCTGGATAAAGACATGCTAAAAAGGGACTTCCATGGGAAAATGAGCCTCTTCCCCTCCCCTTTTTCCTGTCCTATTGTTCTCCAGCAGGGCGTTGCCTCAGGGACACTGTCAGAACAGTTGAAAATGGCTGCGTTGTCCCTCCTCAATCTCTCATCAGCCCTCACTATTGTTTAACCCCATGGCGATCCAACTGTACTTGTGAGATCTGAGTGCTATTCGGACATATTGAGCGCTCAGATCCAAGCTATCTGGCAATATGTTGGACATATAAGTTAAACATTGTATTATAAAAGAGTTATGTATTTTATGGGGTTTTTGTAACAGTTTTTGACTTGGAGATATTCCCTGTACCTGGAGATAATTAAGTTACCACAGCCACTTAAGCCAATTATCTCCAGGATAGAGGAGAAGATAGACCGGCCGCACAGCCTAAATCTGTGGAACTCTTTTGGGCATGAAAACTATGCTTGCGGTCGGTCAAATGTGACTTCCATAAAACTTTGGAACCACTGCTCTGATCTGGTGATTTTTGGATATGTTGTTCACCCAGATCAGGGCTATCCAGGGATATTTGTGGGGATATGTAGTGTTTTGGTGTGTTTTCTGAAAAATGTGTGTTTTCTGCCTGTTGGTAATTGAGTTAGTCCATTGTGTTTGGTAATTGTATCACCGGTAGAGGGGAGGGTTTGTGTACATTATCTGGGAGTGCCTAACTGTACAAGAATGTTTTGATTGGCTTTGTAACTTTGTGTCCTGTGTTCCACAAGGTCCACATGGTTGGTAACCTTGTGGGAAAACTTGTATAAAAGAGACAATAAACCCTCAGTTCATTCTGTTCCTGATTAACCCTCAATACGTAGCCCTGTCTCGTTATTGTAGGGAACTGCTATAATCACACTGGGGATTGCTATACTTTGTATATTCCCCTGAGCTCTAATCACTTTGCTCTTTTAAGAGCTGTTCCTGATACGCTCTCCTGGAGGACAGAGGCTGATCCAGGGTGGAAGGAAGACAGCGAGACTCCAGTTAAGCTACGGCGGTTGTGGAGTCTGCAGTGGTTGTGGTGTCCGGTGCGGTGCGTGTGGTCCTCGGCGCAATCTAGGAAGGTACTCGGTTGGAGTACAGGTGATCCGTTACAATCACAATTGCTTTTACATAAATTTTGAATTTATGATCATCAATTTAATGCACAGGCAAAGATGTGTCAATTCCAGCAGCAAAGCTAAATAAATGCTCATTGTTAGTAGTGTGGATCATAAAATTAGCTCACACCTCTGACGTGGCATCTCTTGTCCGTGTCCTGCTGTGTATTGAGAACATGGCCAAACATGGAACCCGATTCATACTGCTCTTGTGGTTCTTCCACTGCAAGCCGTGACTTCACCTTCTTCACAGCTGTGGTAGCATTCAATGCTGGAAACCAAATATTAAGAAAGCAGGCAAAATAGGGATTAAACAGCCTTATGGTCATTTTCTGTCTGGCTAGTCTCAATAAAAGTGTAAAGTGGATCTACTGACTAGATTGATTTTACCAGCACTAAACATAACGAGTATTAGAAACATAATCTACTATAAATTGCAAGAAACACAAGAAAATAGATCAGTAAATAGGGCTTTCTACAATAAACAGTGTAAGAAACTGCCAGAAGTGGACTTACCTCTCTGACCGTGCGGAAGGGGGTCACCTGCTTTACACGGTGTTACAAATTCTTCTTCCACCAGCCTTTTCTTGCCCCACAGCAGATCTTTGGTCATTGCCGGCTCTCCATTCAATACCTTTGGATCCCTACGTTTATATACATATATCTTTAAATAAAACAGTCAAACCACAACAAACTATAAAAAGATAACCACAGAGCAATGGACAATGTACCAAGTATAGGCACAGTTAGCTTGATATCAGAGAGAAATAACATCCATTGTGTGGAATATATTCACAATTTAAACCATACTTCCATATATTGGGTCCTTTAACAGAACAGTCCTAATTTGGAATGCAGACGTTGACAGGAATTTTTTATAAATGTGACATAAGAGAGTGATTAGCTTATCCAAGTCTTTTGGAACATAGGATCATTTATCAGTTTTCCCTAATAGCCAATATGCACCAAAATGTGTCCTGCCCCATGTATTGCTGATTTCTATATAATGTATTGAATGATAATAATGGTAATAAATTCACATGTCCTCTCTCTCGATCTCGATCATTTATGATCTATACGTATTGAGCAACCATGACACTGCATATGTTTGTGACATTTCAGAGAACATATTTTCCCAAACAGTACTAACATGTTCTGTATGTGATCCCGTGTGACTGCCTGTGGTGTCCGCAGCCTGGTCTATAACTCACCTCTTTATGTGCAGCTTGGATTGATAATTTACAGAGGCTTCCTGCCCATCTTCACTCTGCTCTGAATGGCTAAATGACTGCTCCATTTCATTCAGAGCCTTCAAAATATAGAAAATAAATAAAAACTATAAGATAAGAAATTTTAAAACCTAGCTGGAGCAAATCATATTTACAGCAGAGATCATTTGCCTGACACTAATACAGGTTTATTTGAGCAGCAAGATTAAATAACCGTGAGTAAACAGCCCAAAAAAATTACTTATGCTAGGTGTTCAGGCAAGACTGCAGCAGCTCCTGTATTGCGGCATCCCTAATCCTTCCTACATAAGAGGGAATAACCCTCAATAGACACCCAAAATAGGACACCATCTCCCAAGAGGACCACAGTAGGAAGGAAAGAAGAGGAAAAAAGGTTTAAAATATACAGTTTTCTTACAGGAACACTATAGGGTCTGAAATACAAATTTGTATTCCAAAGCCTAGTGTTAAAAACACTATTCAGGTCCTCGCCTCCCCTTAAATAGGATAAAAACACAGCTTTATTCCAGCTCTGCCCCCGATGTGCCTCCTTGGCCGAGATCATCAGAAGACCCATTTACACCCACTCTTGAGATAGGAAGGGAGTGGAAAGGAAACTCTCAGGAACAGGTCTCCAATTTTTAGTTGGATAACGAAAATAAAAATGAATCACAGTAACTGTCAGAAGGTACAAGGAAATAAATACAATAGTAAAATACCTTGACACACAAAACAGATAGTGTTACACACCTTGGACTGCACTTACAGCCTTACGCAGGAGGTGGAACTTTAAAAATTTAGTAGAGATCTATTAAATATGCAAGAGCCAAATGGACCACAGGGTGTATTGCTACTGCCTACGACTGTGTGCATGAATTTCTCCAGTACCCATAAAATAAATAAGATTAAAAAACAAAACGGCAGATATGCATTTAGTTGGCTGCTGACACCCCAAATTTTTTTTTTAATTTTTTTTTTTTTTTTTAATTCCAGCATTGTAGGTCCCAAAATATGTCAAACTGATGACCAGATATAAAAATGATTAATACTAGCCAAGCATTAAAATGAGTTTGCCACTACACTCCTGGATACTTCTGAACATATTCACCAGGTCTCAATTTTCACTTACCAATGGCTAGTGAATGAGTGAATATGTAGACTATCATGAATTACTATTGAACTATTATGAACTGTAACCAAGATCAGATGGTCAAACCATAATAAGTAGCCATTTAACTATCGTTTCCAGGTTCCATACAGTGACTGGAAGCCAGAAACACTGTACAATAAGCCTATATTAGCTGTAGCATGTGCAGAGGACAGTGGTCTCTTACCTGTGAATCCATGATAGACTGACTCAGGATGGAAAGACGTGTGGGTGGATCCTTCCTCCAAACAATAGGGCCTTGGGAGGACTCCAGGTCACAGGATGGTGCCAGTGTCACGTTAGGATCTCCTGGAAAGTAGGAGAGAGAAGAGCAGAGAATTCAGAGTTAATGATATACACAAGACCAACTCTGCAGCATTAAAACCATGTGAAAATAACACTAACGTTATAAATATATTTATTAGTACTAATGATCTCCTGGAGGCAAAACGGAGTTGTGACGAGAGACCCTCTTGCACTGGATTAGAGTTGAGTTAATTCTATATTTTTACAGGTTTATGCTGGCGTATTCCTAAAAAAATAAAAAATAAAAGTGCAAGTGTTTTTTCTACTCTTCACCTTATTTAAGGCTTGCACCCAATCTGTAAATCTTTTTTCTCCCTCCACTACAGCCAGCTGCAAATGTCATATCTAATAATTCACCAGTTCACTTTTTCTCAGCGATAAACTTTAAAAGGACTGGCAACTACATTCAACTTCAGGTCTGCACTCCACTTTCACATTATGTCCCTCTTCAGCATTACATCTTCCTACACTCCTTATCCCCTTAATCTGCTTGCTCATTTTTTCATTCTCTACGTAAGACTGTCCTATTTATCCTTCTTCACTTATCTCCTGCCATTTGTAATCTCTGCTCCTATGCCTTTCTCTGCTAGTGCTACATCTTGTCAGCACCATTGCCCTCTCTCAGTTTCCTACCAACTCCTTTATCACATCTAATAATCAAGAAATTTCAGCTTGGAATGGCCTCCTCCTCTGTCCCTTAGTCAATTTTATTTTACTTAGTTTCTCTGATTCACAGCTCCTTAACCTCTATATGTCCTTAACTCAGCTGTCATCTTAACTTCCACCATTCCAAATTTGCTCACTGATGAATGACTAGTATGGTAGAAGTATTAATAAAAGTGTTACGTGAGTTTACCAACTGTGACAAACTCCCGTACCCACGGGAGTTTGCCAAAAGCTCCTGGAGGAGCCTGCTTGCCAGCCTCCTGCCAACAAACTATGGGCCCTGCAGGGAAACCTGTAAAAGACTATTTAACTGGCTTGGTTCGTGTGATTCCCCTATGCTGCTCGGGAACGAATCGCCGCACAAACTATGGAACACCCGGGAGCTTGTTAAGCCTAATGGATACATTGTAACAATCCTAACTGCAGTGTTCTAATGGTTCGTCTGGGTGGCAGCCGTTAGTATGCACGAACACGTGGTGGCGGCCATCTTCTTCGGAGCCATCTTGTTCACACGAACGCAGGCAGCTTCCATGATCGTGGGATCGTACGTCTGAATGAAGAGAACAAGCTCCACGATATGTCAATGGACTCTGTTCGGTAGTTTGTTCTCTATTAAACTACCGAACTTGACTGACCACTGCCACTTGTTCCCTGAAACTATTTTGGGCAGAAGCCTTGTGTGCGTTCGGTCAAACTATGACTTCCATGAAAATCTCAAACCCCTGAACTGATCTGGGTGATTTTTTGGATATGTTAGTCACCCAGATCATGGCTATCAGGGGATATAACTTTTGTGGGGTTTTCATAGTTTAAAGTTACTTTTGGGGTGTCTGTGAGAGGTGTGTTTTTAGTGCCTGGAGATAATTGAGTTTGTACAGTTCCTGACTCAATTATCTCCCAGGCATAGGGGAGGGATTATCCTGTTTTGTGTGGGAGTGTCATGGGTGTGCGTGTTTGTGATCAGAATATAAAAAGCAGGCCATCTGGCCAGATTAAAACATTCCAGTTTGTATTCCCAAAACTATGTGTCATCTGGTTACTGGGAAAGGGATAATCACTAATCACTGTTCCAGTGTGGAGGATTCAACGAGGAAAGTCCTTGTAAGGACTAGAGCTCCCAGGACTGAGTGTTGTCCAGTGCCTGGGGGTGGATAGAGCAAGTTCCCCATTCGGCTCCAGGAGGGAGCAGTTTTATGAACCCAGTCAAGCCACGATTGTGGGCAGAAGTGCTGCAGTTTGTCCCCTGTTGTAGCTAGGAAGCAGTTCTTGGCGGAGGTACCGAGCCAGGGGTACAGGTAGCTCCGTTACACCAACTTACCTGCACGTCTACGCGGAGCATCTCCAAATAAATCCTTCACAACGGCCAGTGTTCTGTCTGAATCCTCCAACACATCCTTGATATTATACTCATCCTGGAGGATCTGAAATGGGAAAACAACAGACTCAGGCACATACTGAGACATGGAATGCCCTTCACAAAACATATATCCCACACATTCTAAACCTCACAAGCATTATTAGGACCTTCTTGGACAAAGCAAGGCACAGGAGGACTTTAGTAATATTACCTTCCTCATGATATCATATCGACTCTCTGCCCAGCGTTCAGGGGGTTCTCGATTCTGTTTCTTGCTAGGTTTCTTCAGGGATTTCTTTTGAAGTTCCCAGTGGGCAAGCCATTGGTTTTTTGATTTGTGGATTTCGTGCCGGTGGACCTACAAAACGGATGACGATCAATGAGAAACATGTGCTGTGCTACAGACATGTGAGGATTATTGTCATACTCACAGTCTGAGGAGTTTAAACTGATCTTTAGATTTATACCAGGGAAAATGAGTCATTTGACATCCCAAAATATATAAAAGGGAAACTATAGGCTAAGAATACAAAATTCTATCTCCAGGATAGAGGAGAAGATAGACCGGCCGCACAGCCTAAATCTGTGGAACTCTTTTGGGCATGAAAACCATGCTTGCGGTCAGACAAAACTTTTGAACCCCTGCCCTGATCTGGTGATTTTTGGATATGTTGTTCACCCAGATCAGGGCTATCCAGGGATATTTGTGGTGTTTTGGGATGTTTTGAGAAAAATGTGTGTTTTCTGCCTGTTGGTAATTGAGTTAGTCCATTGTGTTTGGTAATTGTTTCACAGGTAGAGGGGAGGGTTTGTGTACATTATCTGGGAGTGCCTAACTGTACAAGAATGTTTTGATTGGCTTTGTAACGTTGTGTCCTGTGTTCCACAAGGTCCACATGGGTGGTACCCTATGGAGCCCCCTCGCTCACCCTCTCTCCCCCCCACACTCAGCACAGAACACTTTTGTCACTTGAATCCAGTGCCGAGGGACTTTCCTATACTAGTTTAGCGGACGCTTGATATCTTCATGCCCAACGACCCGGAAGCATCTCTAATGGCTGTCTGGTCTGGTAGAGGTGGAGTCAACCCTGCATGGTAATTATAGCAGCTTATCAATAACTACAATAATTACAGCTGCAGGGTTAAACTGACAGGGTCACTGCACCCAGACCACTTAAATGAGATGAAGTGGTCTGGGTGCTTATAGTGTCCCTTTAAGGAATGCTCCAAGCACCATAACCATTAAACCCCGCTGTTGTCAAACTGCTTTAACCCCTTAAAACTGAGATAACTGTCCAGGTTCAGAACCAAAAAAAACCCTAGAATTTGAGCTATACGTCTGTTCAACTATAACTTAGCTCTTTCATATTACGTGCACCCATGCTTATTATGCATAAATTTGTTCCCTTCAAATGTATCTGGCAAGGTGAGTAGGACTCATGTGCTGGGGCGGCACAGACTGCTGGCCTATCCAGGCAAAATATGAAAATCTGTTAACTCTTGTAGTGCTGTATGAAAATGTAGAGAGTATACATGAATATAAAATGACCAGAAGCAACAAGGGACAGTGAATTGCTCCAACATGGAAGTGCAGAGGAGGTCTGTAACTTTTTTAAGTCACACTGAAAGCGATCGGCTTTCCATCCTAACACTGAAAAACTGCTACATCGTAATAAACCAACAATAGCCAAGTAAATCAATCTTTGGGTGTTATTATTTCAAAAGGATAATTTTAAGGCAATTCATTTTTTGCTTTTTTAACAGTGCTCACAATTGCTACTAGCCATTAGCAAATGAAAATTAACTCCTTTTGAGTAGAAATGCAACCAGGCAAGTATGTAGGTAATTGAGGGCAGGTAATTGAGGGCTGGGGAGAGGGGAGTGGAAATGTTAAACCCCTGGTTTTTGATGTAGTTTCACACTTACCAGCTCTTCACGGGTTGGTCTATGGATGTTAAGATCTTGAACTGAATTCTGAAAAACAGGGCAGAGTTGTTACATATATAGCGATTGCAAAATGTATTATCATTAAATGGAAAATAGTAACACTGCAGTGTGGAATGGCTAAGGGTATATGAACCATGGGGTAAGATAAATGTTAAAGGGTTACTCCAAGCAAAACACTTTACCTCTTTTCCCTCTCCAAGGCCAAGTTCTCCCTCCATCTCACACCCTTAGCCTGATCCTCCCTGGCTTACATTATAGCCTGTAAGGGCTAGGGAGGAGGAACTGAGAGGACGCCCTCCGTGCCGTGATTGCTCTTGGCATCAACATGCTGTGCATACTGGCGTCTGACTTCAGTTTTGCAAAGAATTGACATTAGCGAGCCCGGAGCTGTTCTGGACCGGCTAATGATTCTGCAGAAGGTGGAGTTACAATGTCGGCAGCGAAGGGGTTAATCTCTGTATGTGCCGCATTTCAAAGCACAACACCACAAGTACACACGCCAGACACCATGACCACTTAAAATCACCGACGTGGTCATGATGCTTGGAGTAACCCTTTAAAAATAAGGAATTTCAATCTAGATCCCCATTGTATATGAGCAGGAGAGTTCGCTATTTACCTATAGCCTATGGGATCAGCAACCTACTAGCTGCACAGACATTGGGGTGACTCCTGTAGCAAATCCCACATTCACGACTGCTTTCAGAGATGGTTACAAATTAAAGGGAAACTCCAGGGCCAGGAAAACAATCCGTTTTCCTGGCACTGCAGGTCCACTCTCCTTCCCACCTCCCCGGTTACTGAAGGGGTGAAAACCCCTTTAGTCACTTACCAGAGGCAACAACATGTTCCACGTTGCTGCTTCTTCCTCGCTCTTTCTCTGCATTACGTCGGCCGGTGGGCGAGATTGATCCTGCCCACCGGCCATGGAGACCTAATGCGCATGCGCGGCAATGCCGCGCATGCTCATTAGAGCTCCCCATAGGAAAGCATTAAAAATGCTTTTCAATGCTTTCCTATGGGGAATTGAGTGACGCTGGAGGTCCTCACACAGTGTGAGGACGTCCAGCGACGCTCTAGCACAGGTTTTCTGTGCTATGAAGCAGGAAGTGCCCTCTAGTGGTTGTCTAGTAGACAGCCACTAGAGGAGGAGTTAACCCTGCAAGGTAATTATTGCAGTTTATAAAAAACTGCAATAATTACATTTGCAGGGTTAAGAGTAGTGGGAGTTGGCACCCAGACCATTCCAATGGGCAGAAGTGGTCTGGGTGCCTGGAGTGTCCCTTTAAGCATTCCAATATGAGAAAGAGAGAAAAAAAAATCATTAAAAAGCCTCTGTGATGCAAGAGTTAATTATGGCTAGCACTTGCTAGCCTGCTACCACATTAAAAAAAATTACTTGAAGGGCAAATAGTTCTTCAAATTGCCATTCACATGCACGAAAGCAGGCAAATGACATTTAGCGAATGTGAAACTTGACAGATTCATTTGGCTCCAAATGTTATTAATATCAGTGCTTTGTGAATGTTCCAAATCCTGTCCTTTGTGCAGGATTTGGATGCGAAAGTCCCAGTTTTAGTCAAGACACCAAATGCATCCGGGCAATTGCTGCAAATTCGTTCAGGCCAACTATATTGCATCCGCATTTGGCGTTAGTAAATACGAGAATTGCCAATGTGCATGGAATTCTGTAATTTTCACTGGTGAAATTGTTTTTGGTGAATAATCCTGTAATAACAGAATTGTAAAGGAGAACAGATTAGCCATGAGAAGCAACTCACATCCCATTCCTTTTTTACATGGGTCTTCTTTCTGGGTTTCACAATGGATTGACCTCTTGGAGCACGGTGGTATCTTAGACATGACATCTGAAGATTAAAGACATTACAGGGAGGGTGAAAAGGCCCTTCATCAAACAATTTGTATAGGGGTTCTGTCACACACACATACACACAGTCTGTATAGGGGTTCTGTCACACACACACACACAGTCTGTATAGGGGTTCTGTCACACACACACACACAGTCTGTATAGGGGTTCTGTCTCTCTCACACACACAGTCTGTATAGGGGTTCTGTCTCTCACACACACACAGTCTGTATAGGGGTCCTGTCTCTCACACACAGTCTGTATAGGGGTTCTGTCTCTCACACACACACAGTCTGTATAGGGGTCCTGTCTCTCACACACAGTCTGTATAGGGGTTCTGTCTCACACAAACAGTCTGTATAGTCTCCCTCTCTCTCTCTCAGTCCCTCCCTCTCTCTCAGTCCCTCTCTCTCTCTCACTCAGTCTCTCTGTCTCTCTCACTGTCTCTCTCTCTCTCTCTCTCTCAGTCTCTCAGTCTGTCCCTCTCTCTCTCAGTCTGTCTCTCAGTCTGTCCCTCTCCCTCTCTCTCTCTCTCAGTCTCTCTCTCTCTCAGTCTCTCTTCTCTCTCAGTCCTCCCTCTCTTCTCTCAGTCCCCCTCTCTCTCTCAGTCCCCCTCTCTCTCTCTGTCCCTCTCTCTCTCTGTCCCTCTCTCTCTCTGTCCCTCTCTCTCTCTGTCCCTCTCTCTCTCTCACTCAGTCTCAGTCTCTCTCTCTCTGTCAGTCTGTCAGTCAGTCTCAGTCTCTCTCTCAGTCCCTCTCTCTCTCTCAGTCTCTCTCTCTGTCTGTCAGTCTGTCTCTCTCTCAGTCTCTCTCTGTCTGTCAGTCTGTCTCTCTCTCAGTCTCTCTCTCTCTCTCTCTCTCTCAGTCTCTCTCTCTCTGTCAGTCTCTCTCAGTCAGTCTCTCTCAGTCTCTCTCTCTCTCAGTCCCTCTCTCTCTCAGTCCCTCTCTCTCTCAGTCCCTCTCTCTCTCTCTCAGTCCCTCTCTCTCTCTCTCAGTCCCTCTCTCTCTCTCTCAGTCCCTCTCTCTCAGTCTCTCTCAGTCTGTCTCTCACTCAGTCTCTCTCTCTCTCTGTCAGTCTCTCTCTCTCTCTGTCAGTCTCTCTCTCTCTGTCAGTCTCTCTCTCTCTCTCTCAGTCAGTCTCTCTCTCTCTCAGTCTCAGTCTGTCTCTCCAGTTACCTCAGACGGTCTCGCTGGCGGTTACTCCCGATGTCTGCCAGTTTAATATCACCGCTTCAACATCCCCAATCCCCGCCGGAACTGCATGGTTCCATCACTTCCGGGAACGTTTCTATGGCAACCGCTGCTGCGCCATCATCGCGCAGAAGGGGCGGGGCTACTATGAGAGTGGGCGAAGTTACCGTGTTAGGGGGCGGGGCTGTTATGAGAGAGGGCGGGACTACCGTGTTATGGGGCGGGGCTATTATAAGGGTTGGCGAGGTTGTCGAATTAGGGGCGGGGCTACTTTCAGAGTAGTCAGATTTCCACACCGGAAGTGACGATGCCCAGCTGGAGGAGGAGGCGTTCACACAGGGCCCCTCACACAGATAGGAACCACACAGCTCACACAGGGCCCTTACACAGATAGGAACCACACAGCTCACACAGGGCCCTTACACAGATAGGAACCACACAGCTCACACAGGGCCCTTCCACAGATAGGAACCACACAGCTCACACAGGGCCCTTACACAGATAGGAACCACACAGCTCACACAGGGCCCCTCACACAGATAGGACCCACACAGCTCACACAGGGCCCTTCCACAGATAGGAACCACACAGCTCACACAGGGCCCTTACACAGATAGGAACCACACAGCCCACACAGGACCCCTTACACAGATAGGAACCACACAGCTCACACAGGACCCTTACACAGATAGGAACCACACAGCTCACACAGGGCCCTTACACAGATAGGAACCACCAGCTTCCACAGATAGGAACCACACAGCTCACACAGGGCCCTTCCACAGATAGGAACCACACAGCTCACACAGGACCCTCACACAGATAGGAACCACACAGCTCACACAGATAGGACCCACACAGCTCACACAGGACCCTTACACAGATAGGAACCACACAGGACCCTTACACAGATAGGAACCACACAGCTCACACAGGGCCCTTACACAGATAGGAACCACACAGCTCACACAGGGCCCTTACACAGATAGGAACCACACAGCTCACACAGGACCCTTACACAGATAGGAACCACACAGCTCACACAGGGCCCTTACACAGATAGGAACCACACAGCTCACACAGGGCCCTTACACAGATAGGAACCACACAGCTCACACAGGGCCCTTACACAGATAGGAACCACACAGCTCACACAGGGCCCTTACACAGATAGGAACCACACAGCTCACACAGGGCCCTTACACAGATAGGAACCACACAGCTCACACAGGGCCCTTACACAGATAGGAACCACACAGCTCACACAGGGCCCTTACACAGATAGGAACCACACAGCTCACACAGGGCCCTCACACAGATAGGAACCACACAGCTCACACAGGACCCTTACACAGATAGGAACCACACAGCTCACATAGGGCCCTTACACAGATAGGACCCACACAGCTCACACAGGGCCCTTACACAGATAGGAACCTCACAGCTCACACAGATAGGACCCACACAGCTCACACAGGACCCTTACACAGATAGGAACCACACAGCTCACACAGGGCCCTTACACAGATAGGAACCACACAGCTCACACAGGGCCCTTACACAGATAGGAACCACACAGCTCACACAGGGCCCTTACACAGATAGGAACCACACAGCTCACACAGGGCCCTCACACAGATAGGAACCACACAGCTCACACAGGGCCCTCACACAGATAGGAACCACACAGCTCACACAGGGCCCTCACACAGATAGGAACCACACAGCTCACACAGGACCCTTACACAGATAGGAACCACACAGCTCACATAGGGCCCTTACACAGATAGGACCCACACAGCTCACACAGGGCCCTTACACAGATAGGAACCTCACAGCTCACACA